AGGCCCGGCTCCGCGCCCCTGGGCCTGGGGCCGCTGAGGCTGGAGGTTCACAGGGGATTCCGAGCCCCGCGGAGAGCTAGACTTCGGCTTCACCTCTGGGGCCGGGCCTCGGGGTCTCCGGTCCTCGCGGACGCAATCACTCGACCCTCCACTCGGAGTCCTCAGGAAGTTTGAATGCATATTAGAAACTAGCCAGAGGTTTTACACAACAGAAAGGGGCTGGCTGCTCGCGCTCGGGGGTAGCGATTCCTGCTGGCAGCCGTTCTTTTGTTCTCGGTCAAAGTTTCGCCCTGTTGAGGCGTTGAGCTCTTGCTCCCTCAGTTATTCTCGGGTCGGGAGTTTGCAGGGCCTCTCCGTTTTGGGCAGCCAGGAATATCGCGAATTCCTGTGCAGGGAAGTAATGCTCTAAGGAGAAAAGAAAAATCAAAATCAGGCGTTTTCTCTGTCTGTTCCACTCGCGCGCGGACACACACTCAAGAGCATTCTTACGCTTCAAGAAACTTCTCAGTTCGGGGTGCTGGAGCTGTGAAGGATTTCTGATCAGGTTGAAATTGGCAGACGTTGCTTTTTCTGCTTTTCCAGCGGGGACACACACACACAACTGATTCTATAAGACAATTGGATTCCCTTTCCAGCAGACTTGGGGTACTTATGTTTTTCTTTGCCTTCTAACCCTGAAGTTTGCTGGGAATCTACTTCCGCTTCACGGTTCTTTGTTATTTCACACAACTGTTAATGGCTCTAAAGGGCTGCGTCCTTTGGACCAGGATAGGGTGTCAGACTGCCCACATCCTCCATCCGGCCCTCAACGGGACTCTTCTTTTCCTCTAAGCACCATTCCCCCCTCACACCGGATCACCCCCGTTAGGGGTATCTGCCTTAAGGTAATAAAAAGGATCAATGATAACAGCGTTTGCTTTTAAAATGTTTCATTTTCTATTGTATTTTTCAAGGTCTCCCTTTTCTCTTTCTAAATTATTCCTGTTACCGATCATTTACGGTATGTTGATATTTCAGCTTGTTGCTGTTTCTTTGAAGGATGTTGTTTAAAGCTGGTGCTGCTGCTTTGCTTTGTCATTTAAAGTGTGTGTGGTGGGGGTTAGATTCCTTTTTTCTCTCCATGAGGTTCAGGATATCCTCTCTTTCTAAATCATTTTCATGCTTATTCATCAGGCCACTGATCTAAGTCATCTTTGCTTATTGAGGGAGAAATACCATGCACTGTATCAAATAAAATGAAAACCAACAGGATAAAATACTGTCTCAAAGGCGCCTAAAACCAGCTCAGCTGATGAGCTTCTAGTTCTCACATAATAACCCCAGACAGCGCTCATTTTGCATAATAGGGATAATAATGGGGAGGGGGAGCTAAGAATATATAAGAGAGAAATGAAATATTTTAGAGACAATCTATGTATAAGCTATGGAAAATCCATCCCAGATGAAAAATGTCACAGATGTTACTCCTCTTTGGTTTGTCCCAGGCAGATAAGGGAAAAAAGCTGGGAAGCAAAGACAGATATTTTTGGAGATTGCTTTGTTTTAAAAGATGAGTTTAAAAAGAAGAAAGAAAGGAACTCATCTCAATGCTGGGCGTGTAGTTCAGTGGTTGGTACAGCATTTGACTTAACATGTTTGAGGCCTTGGTAGAGATCCCTCGCTAGCATACGGACATAAAACAACAACAAAAATCCAAACTGAAACACCACAAACACACACACTTCAATCCAAAATTATTCCAGAAAGTAAGAACTTGCAGTTTGTGAGATGGATGCTGTAGTTTTCCATGCCTTCCTGATGTAGAATGCCACAATTTTAAAGAGCTAAGTAATAGAGGGGAGTAGATCAGAAAAAGCAAGTTTACAATGTAAGGAGCTAATTAATCTGTTTCAGGCTCCATAACAAGTATAGTAACTGATTTACATTCTGTCCAGGATCAATTTAATATCCTTTCCAAGCAACACCTTCCACACCCAATAAGTGCAAAGCCGCTTATTAGTATCTTATTTGGAGAGCTAAGGGTGGAAAATTTTGTAACTATCTGCTGTAAAACTTCCAATCATCCCTGCCCTATAAAATAACAAAAGTATTTATTTCTTCACATCATAGTCATATGGTCCCACAGAAGAGTGATGCTATTCATTAGCTCTAGTTTTTCCAATGATACTTATTTTGGCTAAGTCCCAGGTTTATCTAGTTGAATTACATTCTAATGTCAGGCCAGATTTGAAAATGGTCACGTCCTTGTGGTTGTAGTGGAACTCCCACTGCAAGAATTATTCATGCAAGAACAGAAAGGACAGTTTTTAGCATGTGCTTCCTTCTATGGTCTCTTTTGCCAGACAATTTTGACATTATAAAACTGAGAACTTGGGATATCCAGTTGTCAGTTTCCCACTGATTTGTGTTTTTTTGTTTGTTTCTTATCTCTAAAACACTTTCAAATGTTGCAAAAAGCAGAGATGTCTAGAGTGAAGAAGAGGAAGACCACACCATAGCCTAAGCTATAGGCCTATGGGTTGTACTCAACACCCCATAGGTGTAAGCACACACCTAGATCCCTGGCATATAGAAACTGTTCAATGATAATCTTGGAAATGACATCCTGTCCCTTTTGCCATATTCTATTCATTAGAAATGAATACTACCGTACTTAGTGGGTAGTAGGGAATTGTGCTAGAGTGTGAAACCCACTGGAGTGCGAGAATTGGGAGTATTTGAAGATTGCTTACTACAGGGATTGTCATTCCTTCCTTCCCAGAGTATTATGAAGAAGTCACAATGGGAAATAATTCTGGGATCTCTGCCTTTGGGGAGTCTAGAGAATAAATAGGTCAGAAATAATACAATGTTGACTGCTCATGGTGCCCCTTGCATCTGTTGGAGTTAGAATGGAACTCTGCCAATTGTTTTTGCAAGCTTGTCTTTGGCCTCAAGGAAGTTTATTAATAAAAGACCATCAGTAATCCTGGAAAAGTGCAACGAGTGGTCCCTTTTCAAAAACTAGAATATTTGGACCAATCTGCAGAAAGGAACTCTTGCTCCCTGGGTTGGGAGGAGAAAGCACTGCGGGTAATTGCTACCTAAGTGCGTGTCTGTCCAGGCTGAGATGGAGGAAACTTGCACAGTGCAGAGGTGGTTAGTGCAGATTGGTTCAGTTCTGTTTTTCACCATTGATTTCATGTTGTGCCTCAGGCAAGTCACTTAACCTCCTTAGCTCTGTGGGTGTGTTGTGAGAATTAATGGTATAATATGTACAAAATGCTTTGTGATCCCCAGGAAAAAAAATTACTAGGGAAGAATTCTGGTTTGGTTATATAGATGCAAAGCATGGAGTTAAATAAAAAGCTAAATTAGCAGCATGTCTTGTGGCTCTGGCTCTTGGCTGAGTTTATTTTTTTATAGTAGTATGCTAGTAAATGTTTAATGATGAGTCTCCAGGAAAAAATAAAGCCCTGATCTATAGCTTTACTAATTTTTATGGTGTAAATACTTCTGCAGTGGCTGATATCAAGTCAACAAGATGTCACTGAACCTGAAGTTGGGAAGGAAGAGCACTCAGAGGCAGCTAGATCTAAGAGCTCCTGCAGCACACCCTCTGTGTTTATGGAACTGCCTCTGTTCAGCTTACTTTGAGCACCAAAACGTTATGTTTTAAAATATACTGATGACCACCGATTCAGTGTTGGCTGCCTTAGGTACAATATTTTTGCTAGTATGATAATCTTGTGAGGCTTAGGGTATAGGTTCCTTTTTATAGTAGCCAGATCTGAACAGAAACTTGGATCTATATAATATTGTCCTAGTTAATTTTCTT